TAAATAATTGAAGCAAAAAATCTGCATTTTTTTGATAAATTGTTTATATACTAACACTATAAAAAAGTACGAGATTGGCACGAATTTATCGATGATTTCGTGTCAACTAACTCATGTCAAATTGTTTTTGGCACGGATTCGACGTATCTCTGCCAAAATCTCTATCAATTTTGAGAAATCACTTCAAAAAATCTCTGTCAATCATGTGTTTTTTTGTAGTGTAATCTAAATAAATGACTAGGAAATATGTACAAAAGTCGTGTAAATAGTTTGTAAAAAAAATCTTCAGATGAGAGTGACTTTCAATGCGGGTCTTGTTACTAAGGTCTCCGTAATTCTCTATCCTAGAATAAAATTTATAGTGATTTAAAATGTGTCAAATCTCCTTTGTTATAATCTTTCATGCGCAAAACCACTTTCAATAACAAATTTAATGACCAAAAAATTAAAACTTATTAGTACTTTTACATAATGTATAGATGAAATGATTCCAAATATATAACTAAAATAAAAGTAGTGGACAAAAATTTGACCCTCGTAATTGTAGTAACTTTAGTGACTACAATTGTCTTCAAATGTTATATCACAGTCAGTGACGGACCCAGAAAATCGGAGTTACGGAGTCCCTACCCTTTTATATCTCTAATATGTAATTAATACGTAGTATAAAACTAAGGTCGTTTAGAAAATGAATTGACATACATAACCGTTCGTTTAGAATTTAATAATCGTTCGTTTAGAAAAATAATATTTATGTCACAGATAGAAAAATAATATCCTATCATTATAGTATGTTTATTCCAATAAATTTCTAAACGAACGGTTATTTATGACACTTTATAATAATAAATAGGGAAAATAACTTTAAACAATACAAACTATCTTCGATGAACCAATAATAATATATACTTTAGTGTAGAACAAAAACAAAATATAATGGAGTCACTTTTTTTTAAAAAATCCACTAATTTAAGACATTAAAAACTAATATCGAACCAATAAATAATATTCGAAAATATGCTCACTAACTTTATATTTTGATACCATTTTTTTATGAATTAAATGACTAATGTTATAGTAAAGAATTGCTATGTATTAGTGTTAGTACTATTTATGTTGTTTTCCATTGCCAAAAAAAGTTGTTTTCCTTAATATATTGGGGAAAAACAAAAAGGTCGTTTAGAAAATGAAGTGACATAAATAACCGTTCGTTTAGAAAATTAATAATTGTTCGTTTAGAAAAATAATATTTATGTCTCAGATAGAAAAATAATATCCTATCATTATAGTATGTTTATTCCAATAACTTTCTAAACGAACGGTTATTTATGGCACCTTATAATAATAAATAGGGAAAATAACTTTAAACAATACAAACTATCTTCGATGAACCAATAATAATACATACTTTAGTGTAGAACAAAAACAAAATATAATGGATTCACTTTTTAAAAAAACACTAATTTAAGACATTAAAAACTAATATCGAACCAATAAATAATATTCGAAAATACGCTTACTAACTTTATATTTTGATACAAGTTTTTTATGTTTTAGTACTAACTTTATATTTTGATACTAACTTTATATGTTTTAGTAAAGAATTGCTATGTATTAGTTTTAGTACTATTTATGTTGTTTTCCCTTGCAAACAAAAGTTGTTTTTCTTAATATATAGGATAAAAACAAAAAGGGACGCCTAAGGGAATCGAACCCTGTACCTCTGTGAGCTGGAAAAATTTAAACTCAAGCATGAATCCATTGCTACGTCATCGACTTCATGTTCTTATACAGCTTTCTCCTTACATATACATTGTATTATTAATTTATATAAAATACACAAAATATATATAGGTATTTTTTTGAAAGTTCATGGGGTCCCGGGACCCGTGGGACCCTTAGTGGGTCCGTCACTGATCACAGTGACTTTAGAACTTACACATAGTAACTTATAGTTACATTTTGTCCATAAAGTTTTTGTTAATAATATTTTAAGGAAAACCTCTTTAGAGATCTTGACAAATTTACTTGCATATTCAATCATAATATTAAGAAAAGTGATTTCCAAATTGTTAAATTTTTACTTGTAGGGGGTTTTGTGCATTAATAAGTACGTAGTACTTTATTAATGCACGTTGACCGGTTAATAGTGCACAGAAAATTTTAAATAGGACGAATGGAGTATTATACGGAGTATATGTTTTCAAATATAGAAACTAAGAAAGTAAATAGAAATATCTTCATAATCTTTCAAAAAAAACATCCTCATAATCGCAGAATTCAATTCATCATATGATATAAAGTTGTGAAAATTTATTTTGGTGAATACTCCCTCCGTCCCAAAAACAATTTCTCAGTTTGACTAGCACACACATTTAGGTAGATTAAAATTTTGGTTTGACTTTCCCAAAATTTTACTGTTTTGACATTTTTTGGACACTTTTTAGCACTGTTTGGACACTGTTTAACACTGTTTGACATTGTTTGACACTGTTTTGATGTTGATAATTTGCCAAATAAGGAAGTGGGAAGAAGTGTGAAGTTAATTTTGGGACATCCATTTAAGGAAAGTGGAAAATTGTTTTTGGGACGGAGGGAGTAGAAATTTAGAATATAATTAAGTTAACCTCATAAAGAATAAGTCAATAAACAAGACAAACGTAATACGGAGAGGGATATATGTAGGGACTACTTGAGAAATCAAAGTAGCCTAATGGTTTTCTCGAACAGTCGAACTCTTTTGTGATTGTCTTGAAGAATCTCTCATTAGATCTTATTTTTCCTTCAATTCTAGCTCGCAATTTTGCATAACGAACTAACGAAGTATAACTAGAATTGTAATTTTGATAGTCGAATTAAGTCGCATGCATAGTGAAAAGATTTGTCATTATAGGTAATAATATATCCACGTAGTCTCACAATCATATAAGTATAAAAAATGATTTATATCATGCCCTAGTAGTACGTATAACATATACTACGCTCTCAATCTCTTATGATAATTATTTACTACGTAGTATGTTTTACAAAAGTACTTGTAATACGTAGTATGATAAACATTTAAGGAAAAAAGGTGCAAATAGGCTCATGTACTAACTAAAAACGGTTAAATAAGCCCTTATTTAGGAGGATCTGTCCGGTAATCGCTATTTGGGGTGGTTCCCAGTGAAATTTTTTGATAAACTTTTTTGAGCATCTTATTCATCAAATCTAGTTTACTCATACTAAATTTCAGCTAAACCTTCAATTGGGATAACATTCAAATGGATTCTTGAAAATAACTGCGCAGTTAGAATCACAGTTATCTTCAAGAATTCATTTGAATGCCTTCCCGATTGAAGTTTTAGCTGAAATTTGGTATGAGTAAACTAGACTTGATGAATAAGATGCACAAAAAAGTCATCAAAAAATTCCACCGGGAACCATCCCAAATGACGACGCCCGGACAGAGCCTCCTAAACAAGGGCTTATTTGACCTTTTCTGGTTAGTACATGGGCCTATTTGCACCTTTTCCCAACATTTAAAGATGTGTCGGAAATATGACCAAAAGCGAAGAAAATAGCGTCCCAAATCAAAAGAGGTAAAAGACCGGCACTTTTGAATCAACCACCGGCCCATGACAGGCCCGAGACCCCCAATCAGCACCGTTCACCTTGTTACCTTCACCAACGCCAGAAATTAAATGGGGAAAACACGAAGAAACTCAGTTGACTACCACGCCGGATCTGCTCAAATTTGTAAAAAAATTGGAGTAAATTCTCGTAAAAAAGTTTTGAAATTCTAAAATAGGAGTATCATGTTTTTATTCCCTAAATAGGAGTAAATTTATGCAAAGTTTGGCATTACTAGGCTATTAAACATGACATTTTTTTTTTCAAACTTGGCAGATTACTCCTATTCAAGGAATAAAAAACATGATACTCATATTTTGGAATTTCAGAACGTTTTTGCTCCTATTTAGAGCAATTTCTAAAAAAATAACTGACGTGGAAGATATTTGATGTGAGTTTCTCGGACTTAAAATAAATGTGAATAGTATAGGATATAAGTACGAGTATCGTCTCCGTAGGGACGGAAAAGGAAATTAAGTGCTAATTAATTTCACGATTTAAATTAAATAAATTAAATGTGAATGTGCGAGTTGGTTTGAGAAAATAAATTAGGTTGGTTGGATCTTACAAATTAATGACAAGTAGGGGATAAGGTTCGATTCCGGGGAAACTATACTTTGGGACTGGTCAAACTTGATTACATGAAAATTATTTAAATGAACAACACTATCAATACCAAATTCTTACCGCTCTGACGACGTACATCAAGTACAATGATTTAGATAAGCTTCTAAATCATATTGTTGCCAAAACATCCTAACCGTGCTAATCCCTTAACAAGTGCTAAAGTGTGTGTAAAAAATTAATGTCCTAGAGCAATGTGAATCTCTCTTAAAGTATTTTATTATGGGCAATTATAATCCTAGAGATCATTTCAGGTAATAAAAGTTAACAATAAATTATTCATAGATAATTTAAATAATAATCATGCAATTAATCCATTAGGAACAAAATCTAGATCATATGACGCTCCTTCATCAATCTCAAATCCTTAAATAAAATCACTCACAATTCATAATAGAATTAACAACAGAATAAAAAAGTAAGAATTATTTGTCATTAAGTGAAAGAAAAACTTACAAACAATCCCACAATTCTAAAGATTCAATGCGGAACAACAATACAAATTAGGTCACAGGCTTGTCTCTAAACTCTCACACTCAAACATGAGTTTATTGCCTGTTTAAATACGCAAAGATCATAATGGGGGGGGGGAGGTCATGAACACGACCATGCTCAGCTCGAATGACCATGGGCACAACGACCGTGCTCGCACTCAATATCCCGCTTCTTCGCCGCGTGCATTGCGTGCACATCTCGTGCGCACTCTTATGAGAGCGCAAAATCTTGTCTTTTTTAATTTAAAGTTTCTTTTTTTTATGATGTTTTTATAGATTAAGATCTTATTAAGCTTTTTATTATAAATCATCATCATCTATCATAAATGAAAAATGTTTTTCTTATTAAGATTAGGTAAATTAAAGGTATTATAAGAAAAGAAAGCAAAAAATGACACCTATATGGGAAGTATAAACATTGTAATCCTATAAATAAATAAATATTTGCATTTTGAGATTTTATTATTCTAAATAAAACGCTTTCGATCAGGATGGTCGCCCCCTTAGCTCGATCCCACGTACCATGCACGTACATGTTTGTCCCTCTCGCTCTCTACGAGCTGAAGCTAGAAAGAGAGACCCATCCGATCGACGGCATAGAGAATATATACATACATACGTGCGCAGTATATATAATTGCGTGATAGAGTAAAATATATACTCCGTATTATATATATATATGTATATACTAGCAGGCAGCAGCTAGCTTCAATCCTCAATCCTCAATCCTCATCATATACAGTACATATATATAGAGCGAGAGAGAGATGGGGAATGAGGAGAGGAGCTTGGTGGTGGTGCAGCGGTGGTTGAAGATGCATGCAAAGCCATACATCGGCGTGGTATTCTTGCAAGTTAGCTACGCAGCCGCTTCACTAGTTTCAAAGGCAGCACTCAATCAGGGAATGAACCATTACATTTTTGGTGTTTACCGGAATCTCATCGCCGCCGCCGTCTTTGCTCCCTTTGCCGTACTCTTTGAAAGGTCTCCTTTCTTCTTCATTTCCACTCCTCTTACCTTAATTTCTCTCCGGGAGCCATGCATATGAAAATTGGGTTTAAAAGGATCGAAGAACTGATCTACACTAGCTAGAATCATGGTGTACGTGCAAGTCTCGGGCACCCTAAATTTTTCTCAACTTTTTAAATCAATGCAAATTATTTTATTTTATTTTTCATGATTTAGCCAACCTCATATTTATTTTATCTAGTATAATTACTCTTTAATCCGATTCAATTTTAATCAGATTTCTAGATCGGTCCACATCGGTCAAACTGGGTTACGTTGGGCTAGTGCAAAAAAAGAAATTGGAAAAATATGAATGCAATTTTATGGAATATAAAAAGGAACAATGGATCTACACTAGCTAGGACTATGGCGGCGTGCAAGTCCAGTGCATTCTAAATATTTCTTAATTTTATTGTAAATTTTATTTTTCATTTACTGAACTTGATATTGATTTAATTCAGATTTCTAGATATGTGTGTGCAGTGGCGCATGCGGGGGCTCAAACTGGGCTTGACTAGTAGAAGAAAGAATTTGAAAAAAAATTAACAAAACATATTCAGTAATATTTAAAGTTTTTTTTTTTTAAAAAAATATAGACACTTCTGTAGTGCCATTTTATCTAAAGAAATTGCTTCAAATATGAATAAATTAACTTCTAGACAAAGTGCACAAAAATGAGTAATAATCATGTTTTGTTACCAAATTAACAGTTATTTAATCATATCAAAAGTATAAAACGTGCCCAATAAGGAGTTAATTAGTCCAATATATTTTAAAATAAAATAATGATGATCATATTTATACTCTTTGTCTAGTTTTTAGTTTTATTTAAGTATTTTCTCTTTCATCCTACATAGGGTTGTTTCTTTCACGTTTTTGTTTACGTTTATATGTGCTGTCTTGCATGCTTTGCTGACGACTAGAAAACCTTTGTTTTATTAAAAAGAAGGCCAACAAAATTAAACTTATCATTTTTTGAACGCTTTAAGATTGATACAAGACAATAAAATCCGTTTGTTGATGATATGCTAAATAATAAGCACTCTTTTTTTAACACGAAAAAGATATCGTGAAGTATTGGAAATGATGGGGTACTTTGATTATATATATTGCTATTGCTATATATAGAGTTGTAGACGCTGGTACGCACCACCATCACACAATCACACGTATAAATCGTGTTTTGCCTGAATAAATTAAACAATCTTGTGTCATAAATATGATATATGCAAGTAGTGGTGTAAATTAAAAGATATTGTCACAAAAGTACTTTCGTAAACAATGAGGGGACAATTTAAATAGGACTAAAACACATAATTCAATTTCTCAAGTAAGATTAGTATCTCATCTTTTTCCTGAACTGTAGGACTCATTGATCGACATTTAAAATAAAAGAGAGAATTCCCAAAATAAGAGCAAAACATAGGCAAAATGCAAAAATAGGAGTACCATGTTTTGAATAGGAGTAACTTTAGTGTTTGGACAAGTATACCCCTACCCAAGCTCCAACAACTTTTAATTAAATGTTTAATTCATAATAAATTCGAAAAAAAAAAACAAAAAATCGTTCAAAAATAATTAAAAAAAATTATAAAATATTAATAAAATAAAAAAATTAAAAAAAAAACTTTTTAAAATTTTTTATTTTTAAAAAAAAATTAATAAAAAATAGTAAAACTCCATAAAAAAATTAAAAAAATATGGATGCCTTTCCCACCGCTTGTACTACCTTCCTACACTACCACCTCCGGGCGGTGAAAAAAATTTCCATTTTTCCTAAAAACTGTCTTTTTTCTGAAAATGCCAAAAACATGGCATATTTCTCTTTGCGAATGCCAACATTTTCATCGTTTTCTGCCATAAATATGGCATTCGTAATGAAATTGGCATTTTTTCCCCTGGTGACTGGAGGTGGTGGTGCTGAGGCAGCAGAGATGACGGTGAATTTTATTTTATTTTTTTGAGTTTTTAAATTTAAAAAAAAATTATATTTTTTTTGAAAAATAAATAAATAAATAAATAAATAAATAAATTATTATTATTATCGAATACGTCATAAATTAATTAGGTTAGGATTAAATGAGCCATATTTTAGAATTAACTAGGTTAGGGATATTAAGGGTACAACATTAATGTTTACTCCTATTGAAGGAAGTTTTAAGTTTTACTCCTATTTGTGCAATTATGTTTATATTTACTCCTATATTGGGCAATTTCTAAAAATAAAATATAAATTCATTTCATCCTAGGCAGCAACAAGTGCAAAAACTCTTCGACTAAACTCGTATGAAACAAGTTTATAATATACGATAGTATATGACATGTATATCAAATTTATACCTTCGTTAGTCTCATTTAAAATATCATTTGTCTAAATTATACGTGACATATTCAACTCCGGTATTGTCTAAAAACGATTTACCAGTTTCCTTCTATATATATATATATATATATAGTTGAATTTCAACCCCTCTGGAACGTATAGCATATTCTTATCTTCAATATATGAGTCTGAATTACTAGTATTAATTAATTATATATGTGCAGGGAATTGAAGTGTTAACTTAAATTAGTAATAACTAATTAAAGAATTGATTAAGGCTATATTATATTTACGGTGTTTATGAATAGGAAAGTAAGACCAAGAATGACCATCGCCATCTTCTGGAAGATAATGCTACTGGCCTTGTTTGAGTAAGTTTTTGAACTCCCACATATACTCATAGTTCTATTTATTACGTTAGTTACTGACTTAAATGAGGTAATTAATTAACTTATTGCTTCAATTGTATCACTGCATGCGTGTGGGTGCAGGCCGGTTATCGACCAAAACCTGTATTACGCAGGGATGAAGTACACAACGGCATCATTTGCAGCAGCAATGTGCAATCTTCTTCCTGCCATCACATTTTTGTTGGCTTGGACATTCAGGTACATACTTCATACTTTCACAATCAACTCAAATCAATTAATTTTCATGTCCAAGTGTATAAGAGAATTCATAATAACAAGATCATCAAGTTCTTATTCATAATATATTGGTCCTGGCAAATGTTTTAAAAACCGCTAGACGCTAGTCGGGCGGCAAAGGACGCCTAAGCCGATTAGGCTCCGACTAGAGAGTAATGATTTTTTTGGCATCAAGTCATATTTATATAGTTATGCACTCATCATGTAATTCGGTAAAGCAATATAAGCAACCAAATACTTGTGATTGTTTATTCAACTTTCCCACAAAAACAGTTTAATGACTAACTGAAATAGTTCACATTATACAAAAACCCTTAAACGAAAGTTTTAGTTAAAACAAAGTTTTTTTGGTAATTAGTAGGCTTTTGTTCTTGAACCTAAACTATATTGTACTTGACTAAACCTACAAATGACATCTGAAATGATTAACTTAGTTTGATTAAGTATGAGCATTGTGAGAAAATTTCAGTCGTCCAACTTCAGACCTACAATATGTCAATATGCACAAAGTTTCAACACAGATTTACTAACATGAACTTCTAATTTATATCAATCCTTCATATGTATACACATTCAAATGATTAATCACTAAACTAATTATGTTACTCTAATCATATTTTGTAACTGTAAACAACGGTACTTCGAATTTCATAAAATTAGTGAAAATTTGATGAAAGCCAATTAACCGAATAAAGATTTAAGTGATGAAAGATTACCTCCAAAATGTGTTGGCGTTGACCAGTTGTGGTGAATGATGATAGGCTTGAAGAGGTGAACATCAGGCGGTTGCGCAGCCAAAGCAAAATCATGGGTACAACGTTAACCATTGGGGGTGCAATGATAATGACACTTGTTCGAGGGCACATTATTGAATTTCCATGGACGACGCCACACCACCAAATCCAGCAACCGGTTAGTGCAACAGCCCCACACCACGATCATCATGTCAAAGGCGCAGCTATGATCGCCGCAGGATGTTTTAGTTGGTCCTGCTTTTACATTCTTCAGGTGAAACATTCGATTCATTTGAGCAACATTCAATTCTTCGTGACCCATTCTTAAATAAATGAAACATGTTTAATTTACACAATTCATACATTATACTTTGCCTAAGTTTTATTTATTAATTTATTGTTTTTTAAATAAATATAGTTAACTTCGTCTAATTTTGGATTTTCGAAACATGGTTTTAATTTTTTTATTAATGTAGTACCGAGTATAAAATATATTAATAGCCACAGTGATGTGTTGGAAAACGTGAAGTGGAAATGTTTAATTAAAAAAATTGTGGAAGTATTTTAGTAATAAAATATAAAAAAATATATGAAAAATAGCTAAAATAGTTCACTTCAACAATTCAAGTCAATATAATTCATCCATAAAAATGACACCAACCTTACTTATTTGAATTATAACACATTTCAGCGCACATAATATAAAATTATATCTTTGATAAAATAGTTAATTGATAAGTCGCAAATAGTTGATTTGCAAATTTGACTTTTCTTATTCAAACAGTTTCATTTTTTCTCTTAATTAGGATCCCAATTTTTAATTATATTTTAATTTGGAGTTCACATTATTGAAGAGATTTCAATGTAGTTTATGAATATGTAAATTTCACTTATTAAAAATTGAATTAATAAGACCAATAGATTATATGTTGACCAAAAAAATGTTAACTTTGTAAAACAATTTGACTTTTAAAACCAATCCAAAATTAGACGAATTTAACTATATTTATTTGAAAAAAACCAATAGATTAATTTGTGGGGGGGGGGGGGGGGGGGGGTCACTAAAGTAGTGGATGAGTATACATTTATAGGCATCACATTTCCTTATTTTCGTCATATATATACTTGCCCGTATTACATATTGTATTCCAAATAGAGATTCAATTCACTTACAATGTGTTATATTTTCCATCAACGTACAGGCAATGACGTTAAAATCATATCCAGCTGGACTATCGCTGACAACTCTCATATGCACATTTGGGGCATTACAAAATCTTGTTTTAGCTCTAGTGGTTGAGCGTGGCGATCATTCTATATGGTCTATACACTGGGACATCATATTAGTGGCCTATATTTACAATGTACTCGATCATCTTATGAACAATTCCGACCTACCTTGACTCCGTATATATTATTTGAAATATTATTTGAATATGGTTGATCTAACTATATATATATATATATATGCAGGGAATTGTTCGATCTGGAGTTGTATATTATGTCTCGGGAGTAATCATGAATGAAAAGGGGCCATTTTTTGTTACTGCATTTAATCCAGTAGGCATGATTATGGTCGCCATGATTGGATCCTTCCTCTTTCAAGAGCAATTAGATTATGGAAAGTAAGTAATCACCTTAATTGCTTCTCTCTCAAACAACTTGCTTTTCTAGCTTCTCAAAGATCTTTTATTTGGATGAATCTTTTTCACCGGTATATCTAATTTAAAGTTACTGATTTTGTACTTCAACTAGCTTAGAGTTCCATTAATTGATCTTTATGCTGCAAAGCAATGTTTGCAGTATATAAGTTGTATGACTTTGTATAAAAGTAAACTGTTGATGATCTTCCAACATCTTTAATTTATGAGATGGAGGGAGTAACTTAACTGATCATTAACATGGTTTGCCCTATTCTATGTAGGGTTTTTGGAGCTCTGACTATTATTGCTGGATTATATTTAGTGATATGGGGAAAGAGTAAAGACAATAAGGCTTCTTCACCATCAGTAGAGGATGATGATATTTTACGTACTGGTATTATATCTACTAACAATGAAGATATAACCCTGAGCAAGTCTTCAAATGGAGAGATAGAAGTTGGTGATATTGCCAAAGCACATTTGGATGAAGATGTTGTCTAATGTTTAAGACAAGTTTTTAAAAATAATGTGAGTGTATAACTGTGCGCATTTTGATCAATTACATTTTGATTATTTTTATATATAGTGTAAATGCTTATGTTTTAAAAGCCCAACTACTGAACTAGGAGCTAGCTAGCAAGGATAAATGATCGGGTCACGTGACAAGCCAGCATTGGGTCTCTTAAGACTAGAGGTTCCATCATAAAAAGTCAACCTTAATAGGAGGAGTAACCCAAAGCCTTATATAGTGTTTTATTGTTTTTATACCTTTTCGGTGTGAGACAAATACTCTGACATGCTCCCTCAGCTCCAACCGGACTAGACAATATCGGAGTGTATAAGTGGCATGGGCCAAATAGACCCTTAAGAAGCTCTCCTTAATCATGAGTGCTAAACAAGCAGTCAAATCACAACCGAAGTTGGCTCTGATATAGACCCGGAGTTCCATCCTAAAAGGTCAACTTTGATAGGAGGAGGAGTCCAAAGTCTTATATACTACCTCTGTCCGACTATGTTTGGGACAAGAAAGTGTGGCATAACTTTTCAGAAAAAGTGTAATTGTGTGTTTGGTATTGAATTCATAAAGTGAATAAAGTTAGAATGAATTGTAATCACACAAATATTACCAAAAATGGTATAAGACAAACTTAATGGGATGGACGAAAAAGGTAAAACGGGACAAAGTTAGGGAGATGAAGTGAGTAATATTTTATTGTTTCTATAGTTTTCCGGTGTGAGACAAATACTCTAACAGGGTCAACCTTGAGTAAAATATACTTTGTACAATATAGAATATGCAACTTCTATAGTATCCTTAATCAGATGTCATACTTTTTCATATGAACCAATTACAATATTGCAATTGAATAATTTCAAAATAAATAAATGGTGAAAAAGTGACTTGATCCAATCAAATTATTAATAAGTACGGTACTGATAGAGTATATCTAGAGAGAAGTGAGAGCTAGAGAGAGAAGTGCAATAATATGCTTCAATAGAATGAATTTGTAACCCCTATAACTACTCCCAAGGGGAGTATTTATAGAGAAAATACGGGCTGGGCTCCCAAGCCTTGGGCTTGGGAGGCCCATTTACAACTGGACCGCTACTGGGCCGAATACAAAGCCATTAATGGGCTGTACGAATGAGTAAGTATAAAATCCGGTTCTGTGAGGTCTTCGTGGCCGACGAGGGCGTGGCCGACGAGGGCACGGCCGACGAGGGCACCCGGGTTCCTTGGGCTCAGGACCACAATCTGAGTTGGCACCTTTCCGGCCGACGGGGGTCCCTTGGCCGACGAGGGCGCCACTCTGTGTCTTGTGCTTTCTGTTCTTCTGAGTATGTGGGTCCGGGGGCTCAGACCCATATACTCCATCAGGAGTCCCCCACTCTCTAAGCTGAGATGTAGACAAAGTGAAGGAGAGTAGATTCCCGTGCTTTGGTGCTTTTGGCCGATGCGGGCCTTCCCAGGCCGTTAGCTGTTGCGGCGTTGGCGCTGTTTCCTTGATGTGTTCGTTTGGGTACGATGAGTGTCCTGCTTCAATGGTGGCCGTTGAAGGCGCGCTTTCCCTTTCTTGGACGTTGATGGTTGAAGTTTACATTTGGGCCGACGAGGCCACTGAGGTTGAACCTTGTTTCGAGGACGATGGCGTCCTTTCCTTTGGGTGGCCGATGAGGGTGTTTGCGCACTCCTTTTGGCCGTCGCTGATTGGATTTCGTGTTCTTGGCCGAAGAGCCCCTTATGGTTAACTGTTGGCAGAGGATGATGGATGTCCTTGCCTTAGGTGACCTGTTGGCCGTTGTTGATGATGTTATGTGCCTCTGGCCGATGAGGCGCCGTTGTGATACATGGACGATGTGGCCATGCTTTGTGGTTGCATTCATGTTCTTTGTATTGTTCCTTTTTGTTTTGTTGAGGCCGGTGTAGTCCCCCAGTCCCCCACTGCTTCAGGCCGAAGAGTGTGAGGGGTGAAGGAGTCGCTTTTGTTCCTGGCCGAAGCGGCTTCTACGTAGTGCCCCTGAATCCAACCCTCATGGCGATTTTCTGGCCAAGGTAACCCTGTGGGAGAACCCTTGTGCGCAGATCGCTTGTAAAGAGTTATCATCAAGGGTCGTTACGAGGGGCCAATGGCTGTGGGTTCTTTGTTCCTTTGGTTCTGTGGCCGTTACGGGCGTTCATTACGTTCCTGGCCGTTGCCATCTCCTTATTGTTGGCGTTTGTGAACTTGGCAAGCAAAAAAGGCCGTTGTAGGCGCTTGCTGGCACTTGTGAAGCCGGCAGGCGTATAGGTCGTAGAGTCTGTTTTGCCAGTGGGCTCTTGGTATGTAGGTTGGGCCTGACCCTTTGATGACGTGGTGGTCTCCCATTGGTGGCCGTTGATGTGGCCATTGGGAGGGTGCCACGTGTAGTGACCGTTGGGTGGGGGGTTCTATAAATACCCCTCCCCCTCCGACGAGAAACCTCATTTGCATTCTGAGTTGTCGAAGTGCTGGCCAAATTTCTAGAGAGATAAACTCCCAAGCTCGTTCTTCGTGTTCTTCATGTTCAAGGTTAGTGTTCATCGCAATCTTCTGTACTTTGCATACTTTGCTTCCTAGGCTAGTGATCTAGTGTTAGGCGCTTGAACACCCTTAGATCCTAAGTTATTCCCCTTAGGCTCGTAGTAGTTGTTATGATGAAGAGCTTGAACGAAGACTACTATCCGTACGACGACCAGCCCTCCACTAGGTCACTCGACTATGAGGTGCTTGAGGAGTTCGAGGAGGAGATACAACACTTAAGTCCTTACAAGTCCGGAGAGCCGGTGGACGACGAAGTTGAGGACGAGGAGTCCGCCTCATCTTCAAAAGGTGAGGACGCAGGTGCGTCCCGAGTGGTGGACGGGGATAAGCCGAAGAGAATAAGGAGGCCGAAGAGTGGGCCGGGCGTCTCCTACCTGGATCTCACAAACATCTTCCTGATCAAGCCGGAGAGCAGCGCGGCCGACTACTTGGTTGCCCAGATGTACGTGGGGCCGTTCGGGCGGGTTAGGGCACCCAGGCCGACGGACCATGTTATTCATCCGCCACCGGGATACTTTGGAGTATACTCGATGAGTTTCGCCAAGGGGCTGAGATTTCCCCTTCACCCCTTCATCACCGAATACCTTGACATGGTGGGGCTCCCTCCGGCCTTGCTGACGCCGAACAGCTACTCATTGATGGTGGGGTTTTTGCTCCGCTGTGAGGAGCTGGGCTACAGGCCGACGACGGCTCTGTTCATGAATCTGTATCAGATAGGCCGAGGAAGTCACAAAAACTGTGCGGCCTATGCTACTCTTCAACAGCTGCCGAAGAAGAGGAGCTTTACGGACTTGCCTTCGTCCATTCATGGGTGGAAGAGCAAGTTCGTTTTTGTATCCCTTGGTGAGAATGGCACTGAGTTCCCGTCTCTCGGCCATACCGGAAGGTTCAATCTGCATGACCCGCCGAGGAGTTCTATCATGGACGCTCAGGTGGAGGCGTTCCTGGAAGGGGGGCCGAGGAGCGTGAAGGACTATATCACCGAATACAAGATGACCGCCCTCGGCTTCTTAAGATACCATGTATATGGCGACAAGGAGGATGATATCCAACTCTGGCCGAGGATGACCACCACCTTCAAAGAGGCCGACGGCCCGGATTTGGGCATTCCTGCTGAGGCCGATGGTAATTCTTTCTTCGGCTCTCTTCCTTTGTTATTTGTTCTTTTGCCTTGCTAATCTGTTCGTTTTCCTTTGTGTAGATTTTTCCATGGATCGCCGTTCAATCATGGCTATTGCCAAGGCCAAGGCGGCCGAGGAGTTGGCTGAAAAGGCGGCCGAGGCGGCCAGACGTGCCGCGGCTGAGGGAGGCGGGGCTACTGCTAGTGCGGCCCCAAAGCCTGCTCAGTCCAAAAAGAAGAGGCCTCCCACTGACGGCCAGAAGAAATTGACCGAGGCCGGCCTGAACGTCACTAAGAAGACGAAGAGGGCACCGTCTCCTTCCCAGGCTACTGAGGCCGACACTCTTACCGTCCCCAGTGTGGACGATAGTGGTCCTGTTGTGGACCTCACTGCTGCTCCTAGCGATGCTGCCCAATCGCTTCCTCTCGTCCAGGAGCCACAGACGAAGAGGGCCGGCAAGGAGATTGCCGGTGCCACCTACCAGAAGATGGTGGAATGTAAGGAATAATTGTATTTAGATTTTGATGATGCTATATTAATTAGGACTGTAGAGTACCCCTTTAGAAATTATGTATTAGAATTTTCCCTTGTAAAGTTCTTAGCATATTCGACTACCAGAAGGCCTCTCTACCAGAAGTCCTCCTGACAGAAGATCTTGGTTCTCTGTCTAGGAACAGAGAACGTCAGGGTCTCTGTTACCCTTTAGAGTGACAGAAACCCTCCTGGTTCTCTGTAAGCTACCAACAACAGAAGTGCTCATGATCCTCTCTGATTCAGTTCTCTGCAAATAACACCAGAAGGTCTAACACTTGGAAGAAATCCACAAAGCCGGGAAGTCAACTTAAAGATTCCTTCAACGGCTAGGAGTATGAAACGGAAAAGCTACAGTGCTCGCATTAAATGCTCATTTAATGCTCCCCATGCTCCGTGGAGTAATTGCAGATGATTGGCCGCAATGTCAGGATTACTTTATCCCGAAATAGTAACCCGCCAACTTTACCGGGTCCTACTGGTCAAGTCAACTGCTCGCGCATTAAATGCAGTTGTCCTCCTACTCCTCCAACGGGAAGACAACGTCAGTATAAAAGATACACTACGAAGAACAACCGAACAACTTTGCAACCTTGATTCAACTTTGCTATCACATTGCTACAAGCAAGATATTCAAACTCTGAAAAGCAAAAGCCTCCTTGAGATTCAAACTCATTATCCTCTACAAGAGAAGGCAGAAGTTGGAAAAATACTCTTTCCAACTCAAGCAAAGTTCCAAGTGTTCTTCAACTCTTCAAGCTCATCACATACAAATCTTTTGTAACGAAGCCAGTTGGAGGAACCTCAGTTTCAACAGAAACTCTTCTTGCTACAAGAAGGACGTCCAAATAACTGGAGTGGTGAAGTGGTGATACTTCAAGGAAACTCAGTGAAAGGACCAGTGTTAAAGGAAGCCAGGCAGTGCATCCCAGGACACATCTAGGCTTGAAGAAGACGTGGAGTGCTTCTTAAGTTCTAGGACTAAGGCTTTGTAAACGGCAGTTTTTACAGCTTAGTGGAACAGTGGATTAGAGGAACGAGTTGTTCCTTGAACCACTATAAAAATCCCTGGTGTCGTTTACTTACTGCTTTTATTTATTGCATTTAGCTAGAACTGTATAACTCATTGGACTTGGTATCTGTGTTCAGCAGAACTTGTTCTACGAGTTAACAGAAGGCCTACTGCCTTTGCTTCTCTGAGGCTAACAGAACTCCCTACCAGAACCCCATCCGCTGCCAGTCTGTTCTTCCAACAGAACAGGCTATTCTGTAAATCTGGTACTTAGTTTAAAAAGCTAAAAACCAATACAGTCTATTCACCCCCCCTCTAGACTGTATCCAGTATAACCGGGACCAACATGGAATACCCCGTCGGCGGGGGTGTTTTTGATGACGTCGTCCTCGGCCACGATGTGCTGGCCCAGGCCATGCCGG